TGCTGTGAGCTAGGCTGACGCCACAGCACTCTACTCCAGGCAACAGAGTGAGACTCTGTCTCAAAAAAAAAATAAAATAAAATAACACTTGTAATTTCTTTTTCAGGCACAGAAAATGACAACATGTCAAGTTTAACAGGGCAATTTTTGTTGCCATATTTTCAAGAGGGCCTTTTTCAGAAGCTGAATAAGATTACGGGTCTTGCAAAAAAAATTTTTTTAAATGTCCTATAAAACCTCAGAATTCTCTCCACCCTGGGAGTGGCTTGAAAAAGAAATAACAGCACACGTTTATCACCATTTTAACAACATACGTTGATTTGGAGTCTAGTATCTTCCTTTTTATCCTCTCAACTCTGTGAGGGAGGCACCATTTTACAGAAGAGGAAAAGCAAGGTAACCTCCTCCATGAATCTTCACTCAACCTGTCAGTCATCCGGTTCTAATGATAATTTACCCGATTTTCCTAGGCGGTCTTCCTCCTCCCTTATCCCACCCTCCCCTCCTTATTCAGATAGCGAGCACCGCGGAGGCAGAGAACTGAATCTTAATTGTCTTTGTTCCGGAGAATTGCTAATGGCACACAGTAGGTGCTTAAGGCTGAGTAAATGAAAGAATTTCAGGAATGTCATCCACCGAGTAAGAGATGAGCGTGGGACTAACATGCAGATGATTGTACTCTTTCCTCTTCCCACTACATCACGCTGCCTGAATTAAACATGGTCCACCACTTCGAGGGCACAGTACCAAACCAGAAATTGTCACGAAAAACAGTTGTCTCCCCAACGTCCAAAAGTTTGAATGTCCCTACCCAAGACGAATGATCTCAAAATAACATTCTTCGGAGACTTTAAACTCTCAGCCAAGAAACAGTTCTTGTTAAGAAGTGGGGGCAGGGTGGGTTAGGCAGGGAGAGCGAAACGCCCGTTTAATTGGTTTGGCTTACAATCACGGCTTTGAATGAAGGGAGAGCGCCAAACACTCAAAGAGAAATTGATTACGACGTTATAATGGCCTTTGAGAAGGGATCCCAAGGATTGAAAACTTGGAGGCAAAGTAAAAGATGCTAAATTGGGAGAGATCAGCCATTCTGAGCCCTGCCCCTAGACCTTCCCCGCCTCCTTAATCTCTCTTTTGAAGCCGATTTCCCAGGATGTGACTGGGGCGCCTCCCTTTCTCCTCGCCATCCCCGCGCCTCCCCCACCCCCCAACTACACTCCCCAGGGTGGTGATGATCGGTCTGGGTTTTGTGAAAAAAGTTAAGTCCACAACTGCAAACTGGCCCCAGTCACCAGCCTAAATGAGACCTGTCTAGGTCGAACACTTGTCATCAGCCCCCTCCCCCCATGGGAAGCGACAGGGCAGGTACCCATTTCTTCCTCTGCCTCAGAAAGAACCGCTCCTCCCTTCCCCTGTCCCACCCAAAGAGCAACTGGTCGTCCAGTGAGGCACTCTCGGGACTTGGAGGTGGTAGCGGAAAGGTGGTGGCGGGAGAAGAACCCCAGTCCCTCCGCCCAGGGTTTAGGATCGGGCGGCGGGTAGCGACGACTAACTGTTCTCCTCGCTACCTTTTAAGTAACAGTGAACACGGCCCTGAGGCAGGTGGGGGTGGCCAAAGCTTACCTGTGAGCCCCCCTCCGCCTTCCTCTTCGTAGCCCCGACGCCGCTGCAGCACGAAGTAGTCGTTGGACCTTTCCATCAGCCACAGCTTCAGCGCATTTTTCAGGAGCACTTCCTCAGGCTTCAGCCACATCGTGAAGAACTTTGTGCCGCTCGGGGGCAGCGACGTGGATGCCCGCCTTACCCCACACGCAACCCGTTTCTTCCCTTCTACTTCTCCCACCAATCTTCCTCAGGCGGCAGCAGCTCAGGTTCAGGTTTTCCACACTTCCCCCAACCCTCCCTTCTCTCCCACGTAGGCAGCGAGATTGCCAATTCCCTCCCTCAGCGCTACCGCCAGACTGGGAAATAGTCCCGCTTTTTTACGTCTTGGGAGTTGTAGTTTGCTACTCGCTTTTCTGTACTTGCGCGACTGGAGCGCGGGACTACACTTCCCACAACACACTGGGGTGAGACCTAAGTGGGGGTGCTTTCAAAGCGGGTCCCGCCACCAGTTCAGCGTGTTTTGCCTATCTGAAGTTTAAAGCGGTTTTTTTTGGTTCCAATAAATGAGCCCCAGGTATAAAAGTGTTGCTTCTCCTTATCCTTTTACAGCCGAAGACATTAAACTGTAGAAAGCAAAGTTTCCGGAATTTTGAAGTAACGACGGCCCATTCTGAAAAGCAGCAGTAGTAGCAACAAAAATTTAATGAGCGTCAACTATGTACTTAGGGGATCTCACATAATCCTCAAAGAAGCGTTTAGAAGGGGACTTCTTCCCCACTTTGCACATTCATTAACAAAAGCGATGACGAGTGAGGTGACTTATCCAAGGTCGCGCAGTCAGTGATATGATTCCTTGTCTAAATCCAAAATTCTTGCCTAGATTAAGCTCTTTCTGCTCGTTTAGGAAGAATATAAGATCTCCAGAAGCCACACATTTTCTTCACGCCGGGCGCCCCTCCCTTCCCCCACAGCCTCCCCTGTCCGTTTACCCTAACAAGCCACGGAACGTATCTTGTCCGACTTTCCGTTTCGGGATCTAAACAATTTATAAGTAATTTTTTCTCTTTCTTAAGCTCTTTTTAAGAAAAAAATATCCCTTTCAGGGCAGCCTTCACCTCTTTGTATCTTGGCAATGATACGCAACTGCTTGAACACTAAGGTGAATAAGGTCAATAATTTGCATGACATCGCAGTGAGGAAATATTTGGGGGACTTTTTATTTATTGCGATAACTGAGTCCACGGGAATTAAAGAGTGCACTAAAAGTGAAAACAGGTTTATAGGAAGGAAGGAGTAGGGAGGCAAGCAAGGGGCTCTTGGCAAGCTGTTTTGAGAACGAAGCCTCAAGGCCATATGGCTATATATATATATATGGGGTGGGGCACATGCAGATGCCAAGTCGTGGAGCCAGTGAACTCTGCCCTGCAGGAACGTTTCCGCTTAATCCTCCAAAGATGTGAGTGTGTGCTACATAACGTCTAGGGATTTTTCTTGTGTGTGAGAAAAGGGGCAATTTGGGATTCTTTACTACTAAATGGCAGTAAGTAGTCCCAAGGCAGCTTTTTGGACAGTATGGAAAAAGGCAGTATCCCAGAGCCCAGACTGCAATATATCCTTGGGAAAAGCCATCCCAATTTGAATGAGTACTGAGGCAGATAATATCTTCTCATCTTCCTGATGAAATATCAGTAAATGTAGCAAATGTAGAGAGGTGTGAGGTATCCTTCTTTCTTTTCACCTTTCCTTCCCCTTTTTATTTCCTTCCTCATCAAACCACATTCTTTTCCAATACCCTTAAAGGTTAGAATTGTGGCAAAGGCTGTCCAGAACTGGATGGCTTTTCTACCTCCTTACTCTGCAACTCCATGCAGGTATACCCACATGCTCCCTATTACAGGATCAGGCCCACTTTTGGCTCAGAGCAGAGTATTTAGAAAGCTCCTGCTTTAGTAAACAAATATTCCACTGATCATGTAAAGAAAATTTTTTCCCAATTAAATTACTTCTGTGATGTAAAATTTTGACTTGATCATAAATAATTTATTTCGAGCCTTTTCAAATAAAAATATTTTTCTGAAAGCACCTTAAAAAACAGAGCATGTCACTCTATTCAATGTTCAATTGTGTGGGGGATGGACATGCTTGAAGCTCTGACTCAGGTGGGGCAAAGGCAATATGTATAACCTAAACATTTGTAATATGCTGAAATGTAATATGCTGTAATATGCTGAAAAAATTTAAAAAAAGAAAACAAAAAAATTGTTCAATTGTGTACATTAATGTAAATTGCTTAGGAAAGGAGGACTGAGATTGCAAACTGCCTTGGCTATCGTTGCTGGTTTTGTACTGGTGCTATATATATACGTGTGTGTGTACATATATAGCCACTTAATTTTCATTAACAAACTTGCACATTTTTACATGCTTACTTTACAGATGAAGAAAAGGAGGTTCAGAGAAGTAACTTACCTAAGATCATACAGCTAAATAAATGGTAGAGATGGAATTTGCACCTAGATTTGTCTGACTACAAACCATGACACTATACTGCCTATGCATATGGTCCATAGATATCTCAAATACAACATGTCCAAAGCCAAACTTATTTTTCCAATATTCCCCTTGCCCAATGTTGTTTCTCCTGCTAGATTCTCTTAGTTCAGAGCACCACTGTTTACCATGACATTCAAGCTAAGAACCTTGGGATAATCTTAGACTTCTTTTTCTCATCACCCCTATTCCCCCACCTCCACTGGTGTATCTCTTTCTCTCTCACACACACACACAAACACACACTCCTCTATTTCTTTTTCGGAAGTCCAACCCACTGTCCTATTATGGCTTTAGATTAGCCTTACATCAAATCCCACCATAGTATTATAATAGTTTCCGAACTCATCTGTTTGCTTCCATTATTGCTTTTCAATTTATCAAAACCACATATTTATGGGACCAATAAAATATGCAGAGATGAATAATACCTCATTTATCTGAAGGTCAGTCATCCAGCTGACTCAGCTTTCTAAATCAGAGCCTCAAACATCTATGAGAAAAGATACTAGGAAACCCCAAATAGAAATTCCAAACCCTGTGCTATGGAAAGGCTGAGGGTGTCACTCAGGATTTTACTGATTTTTGAAACAATTGTCACTAGCTTAGTTTATGCTTTTTTGAAGTCTGCAGCAGGTTTACAAACAGATTCAAAATAGGTGGAGTACTACTAGAGGTCAGCCGTTTAAAGCTTCACTACTCAAAGTGTGGACCCTGGACCAGCAACATCTGCATCACCATGGAGCTTGCTAGAAGTTCAGAATCTCAGACCCCATTCCAGACCTGCTGAATCAGAAGGTGCATTTTAATAAGATCCTGAGGTACTTTGTAGGTATATTAAAGCTTTAGGTGCACTGATTTAAAGCAAATTAGCTGTGTGAAAATCAAACTCTACAACAAATTGGGGAGTGATTAATCACATTTTCATTAAAACCCATGCATATTTTTAAAAATAAGTTCTGTTAATGAATTTTACATGACTGAATTGATTTTTCAAAAAGTTTGTATCCAGAACATGCCCATTAAAGTTTTCTAAGGCAATGGTTGAGAACTGGAATATCAACTGGGATTATAGCTAAGGGAAATTGCCACTAACTATCCATACTGAACCCTATTTATCTACTCTCTTAACCATCAAAGTCTAGGTGTGCCTGTGTCTCACATTCATGAAACTGTGTTTATGCGGAAAAAAGTTGAGAACTAGTGGGTAGTGTTTTTCAAAATTTTCACCAAATTAGCTCTGATGGTAGGAGGATAACGAACATTTATCTCTGGAGGTCAAATTGGCCACCATAATCATGAATTTCTTTTAAGTCTCATGTTGTATATTAAATTTTATTTTGTTCCAATGTGTTTAAAAATATTCTAAAAATCACTCCAAACAGAAGCAATGAGCAAGGTAAATAACTCAAAATTTGTTATAGCCTGAGATAAAATTTCTCCAGATGTTATAGAACTTAAAATTTTTCATAGGTGAACAGAAACTAGATGGAGGAGGGAAGAAGGAATGTTCCTAGCATTCCAATTGTATCTCTAAATATGTTTCTACTGATTGACCTGGGAACCATGTGTATTCTTATTTATAAGGTAATACAACCTGAGCTCTGCTAAACTTACAAATAAACTTCGAAACCCCTTCTTCTTAAGTTGATGACTCCCTAGACAGATAAATATTATCTACTACCGCTGTTAAAGGAACCAGCTTATATTTTTACTATTATATGAGAGTAATAGCATAAAGTCTGATGCCCATGCTAAAGAATATCAAAATAGCAGGAAGAAAATTCTCAAGCGACATGGAATTCCTCTCCTTGGTTCATACCCAAGAGAATCTAAAACATTATCTACACAGACTTGCATATGAATGTGCATAGCAGCATTATCCATAATGGCCAAAAAGTTAGAATAGTCCAAGGGTTCATTAACTGATGAATGGATAGTCAAATGTGGAATATCCATATCAGGGAATATTAGCAATGAAAAGGAATGAAGTACTGATTTATGCCACAACGTGGAGGAACCTTGAAAACATTATGCTAAGAGGAAGAAACCAGTCACAAAAGGCCCCATATTGTATGATTCCATTTATATGAAATGTCCAGAACAGGCAAATCTATAGAGACAGAAAGCAAACTGATGGTTGTACGGGGCTGGGAATGGGGAATGGGAATTGACTGCAAATGGGCATGAGGGAATGTTTGGGGGTGGAGTGTTTTAAAATTGGACTGTGGTAATAGTTGTACAACTCTATACATTTGCTAAACATCATCCAACTGTACATTTATAATGGGCAAATTATGTAAATTATACTTCAAAACAGCTGTTAAAAATTTAAAAAGGTTGACTCATTCCCCTCCGTGCAGGATGCAGGAGCTCCCCTCCAGAAGCTGCGTTCAGGAGATGCCCCATCTTTCTGGAATGGATCTAAGACAACCTCTACAATGTCTTGCACGTTTTAGGTACTCAACAAATATTTTCTGAAAGAAGTCTTCTTTTATAGGTAACATGGGAGTCCTGATAATTACATACCTATGAGGCTTAGCTGAAGTTAAAATCCAGCCAATAAATATATTAAAAAGTTTGGTCTCACTAAAAATCAAAATCATGCAAGTTAAAACAACGAGGTACTATTTTTCCAATGATCACATTGGCGAAAAAGAAATAA